ATCCTGGTAAAGTGGCCGCTGCTTTACGGGTTGAATAAAAAGTAGAGGATTTGGCCAATTTTAGAAGAATAGTCATCACCAAGGGTCTGGCTGATGACCGCCGGACATGGAGTGTACTAGTTTGTTATCTCGTGTACGCTGAAGTTGGCCAAACAAGCATAAAAGCTATACAAAACAAGCGAGTCGACAGATATAACGGCAACTGATTACCCACTGGACCAAGTTCAAGTTACTGCCACGCAATAAGTCTATCAAAGTTTCAGGGACACGGAAAGTGAATACGTCAAGTCCACGCAGTCAGACGTTTTGAAAAACCAGGATGTCGTTAAATATTTTAATGGCTATCCAGTTAACTGTGATGCCTTTGACGCATACGTATTCTCTTATTTCATTCAATAGTTACGTCATAAACTACAGCTGAACTCGCGAGGACTGTCCCGAGGCCGTTTTATGGACCTTTAAAGGGGCCCTTAGAGACGAAAAATGCTATTTTCCGTGTCTGATTGTGTTATCTCGATATCTTTATAGCCAGACTGCTCAATTGTTTATTTGCTTAGATTACTTTTACATACTTGATATCAGAAAAATTACAGGTAGTTGTGGTTAAGTGCGAAAAGCTTTGGCGGCTGTGACTTGGCCTAGCTGAGCAACTAATTCAACCGACAGCAACGTCAGTTCTTTCTTGAAAATTGGCGAGACCTCCAGTGCGTAAGAAAGAGAACTAGTTGTGTTTTACATAGGCATTAGGCGTTTGTCACAAAGAAGCCCTTGAAAATGAAACCTGGAAGCCGCATTCGATGAAGGCCTTCAGAATAAGAATGTTTCTACTCCGCCCCAGACGATTTAATCAAATTCCTTTTGACATTCGGTGTGTAAACTTAACTCAAACTCAGGAGAGAAGGGGGGGAGTCAATGAAGAATAAATCAACTTAATAAACATGAACCATTCCGTACAAAAATGTCCAGCACAGAATGTATGTTGTGAGCTCGCCAAATATCATATTATACAGTAGGGCGGACTTTTGCATAAAGTACTTCTGCCAATCTGATCCTGCTTTGCGGAGCAATAAAATTGAAAGCACAGCACTCGCCGCTATGTAGAAAAGGAAGCCTAAAAATCCTTTAAAAGATTGTTGTCGAATATTATAGGAAATTACCTGTGAGACCCAAGACTCCAGCAGTTGCACCAGCAAGTGCTGCCAGGGAAGCCCGACAGTAGCCCACGATTACTAGATTGTTTTGGGCAGCGGCCGGACTATAGGCTACGGTATTTGTTTCGGTTCCTAAAATCGAAAGAAATAAAGATTTGAGTTTTCATAAGGGAATATGAGGTAGACGATCCGTCGGCTGAAGTAAGCAGGTTAAATCAGAGAATAAAAACGGTCCTGGCAAATGTGTTAAGAGTAGAAATTACAAGTTGGCACTTTTTGTACGATCATATCGGATATTCCCGGCTATCTATCTAGTCAACAAATTATGCATATATTTTCTAGGTTAAGGGATAGTATTAAATACCAAGACCGGAATAGATTCGTTACCGAGATTGGCAGACACAATGTTTCATCAAAAATACAAGGAAACCAGACAGATATTTCTTTTAGTTTACCTCAAACATCCATACATACAGCTTACGAAAAATACACATTATTGCTCGTGTGTGCGTGCCAAGTCCAGGTGGTTAAAAAAGCAAGCTTAATAGTCCATTGCGTTCGGCAAGGAAAGTGCAGCACCTAGCCTTTTATAAAGTATTCAAACCCTTTTATGATTGCTCGCCTAACAAACACGAAAATGTCCCAGAAAAGAATTTCAGGCAGAACGAAAACACTTCTAAATCTTTCGTTGTTATAGGTGAGCGGAAAGAGGTATATACTAGTGGCTCTCTGTTAGGTAATTAATCGTAAGTTTTGGGCAGTCTCGACATAAATAAATAGCTTTCTTAAAGCGCGTCTTATATTGGCAGTTTCATCAGGTAACGACTGCTACATTTTATATGAAAAATAAGATAGTGATTACTGACCGATCCAGTCAATTCACCGCGAAATGCATGCGGTAAAAAATGGTTTCACGTGTATATTAATGGTTCAGTATATTTTTTATTTAGGGTGTTAGGCAATGCCTTTGATGACATTTGATCGGGATAAGTAGGTATACAGATGTTGTTTGGCAACTAAAGACCTAAATAGGTGGGTTGAAGTGATTAGTAGTCCCATGGTATCCACTTAGACGGATAATAAGCCATGGAGCAATTTTATTCTCTAATAATCCCCTTCGCCGTCTGCTCGCTGAATTGTTTATTGATTTCTAAAAAGAGTACTAGGGTAGGAACCCAGAGTCCTAACGAGTGAGCTATCGAAAACAGGCGTCACCTTTCCTCAAATGTCAGCTTTCTCTGAGGGTGCACAATCAGTTCCTGCGCAGACTAACATAAAATGTTAGTCATGTCATGTGTTAATACACGTCCAGTTACACTACCTGCAGATCACGTTCCGATTACATTTTCTGCACAGTAATTAAATTTTATAAAACAGCATAGGACCTTCTACGAGATGTACTTCATCACTAATCCTTTTACGGAGTTCCAAATCCTAGACATCACAGCATGCTCCGCTTGACAGGACATCCTAAAGAACTGTTCGACAACTGGACAACTAGCGAAAGAGCTCAGCCACGTTCGAAACGC